GTATTAAATAGAAATCACATGCTGCCTCAACCCTCGCTAAGAGGCGACTGTAAGTTCCCTCATTCTATTTCATACATATTTTTTATGTTGTAATGGGATAATCTAGAATACATTTAATATTGTATTTTAACATATTTATCTAAAATATAATGAATTAAAGTTGAGATCAGATTTTTAACTTTGACTTTTAAACTCTGCAAAATAATTTTACCTTTAGTTCTTCCGGAATTTTATATAGATTAAATATCATTTCTGCATGATGGGACAAGAACGGCCATTACATGGGTTTCGATGGAGAATCAAACATAACTCCTTTTACCATTTTTAATATTGCAAAAAGTCATTTTCCTTGTTCTCCGAATCTGAAACCCTTTCACTTTCCGAGCGCAATTTGTTTCCTTCCTTATTCGTTATCTTTCTACTTTGAATTTCTAGCTCCTTAATTTTTATCCGATGGCCTCTCTCTAATTGTCTTTCCAGAAATTCGTTAATCGGTCCTTCCCCAGGTCTGCTTCGACTTCACAATTTTCTATCTATAACTCCATTTCCTGTAATTTAATTTGATTCTTCACTCTTCTAATGCTTTAATGCGATTCCTCTGACATCCACTCCCTACTTTTCCTTTTAGGACCCATTTTAAATTCTGACATTTCTGCCTTACAAATTTAGACACATTAACATAAAAACCATCTGATTTTACAACCATGTATACTTATAATATTACTTCTGAATAATACCATTACTCCGTCAGCAAGCGCAATTACGGACAATACATATTTCGTATTAAATCGTTAAAATACATTTCACAACATGACATCATATCTTAAAAAAAAACTGAAGTCGTTTTTAACTCTGTTGATATTTCCATTAGTACAAAAAAGATGGTTAATACTTGAGTATTACGCCTTAATATAATTGCTTTTTTTATAATACATGCATTTAATGTATTGCTCTTACATGTTAGCCTAATTAAAATTTTCAGCCCTAATTAACTTCAATAACCACGATATTTAAAATAATTTCAACATTAAACAATAATAAGAATGCACATTAAATGATGTAAATATTTCAATATCATCTCTAATTTAATTCTTTAAACCATTTTAAAATTTGAACTAAAACATGTAATATCTCATCTATATATAATTGATAAAAATGTCGTATCTCTCGACTATGTTAGGAATATACTTTCTACACCGTATGGTGTGGCTGTGACTGCAGAATGAAGTGACATTTGATGAATCAATATGGACCGTTCAATTCGGCAACTGTGAGTATTGATGGAATTATACAAATACAAATGAACCCCAACTCCCTGTAATATTTTCCATGATCAATTATTGCCAATTTCTATTTGGACAAGAAACGTTAGCGCGAAACTCAGGCGCTTATAATAATCTGCCATTTTGAGCTTTTGCACACGTTTGATATCACATACCCGCTAGGAATTTTGCATAAATCTACCTAGAGTTTTCGAATTTCCTAGGACGCACAGAACAGCAGCTCCAAAATCTCTCCTATCCGCGACGTTTGTTCCTCTTTTTCAGCTGCAAATGCCTTCAAACACAGAAAGTCATTTTATAATCCTGGTGTATATTCAGAAATGCAGAAGTTTGTTTCGATCTGTATTAGACATGGTCTGCTTGACTAAACGTATCTTGAGTAGTTATGTTTAAACTGACGCAGATTAAGTATTTGTTGATAACGAAATAATTATAATATATTAATATATTTTCTCACATGCACAGTAACCTACTACAAACTAAAGGAAACATGTCAGCTTGTAGATACTGAATATACAATAAATTTGTCTTTCAGTACTTCAATATTTTTTATTTTATTGTTTGGCAGTAGAAAAAATGTTAGGTATATCTAAAGGCCCAAGGCTATATTTTCTTTTTAAATAAAATAAGGTCTCAAGATTTAAATGCCTGTATATGCAATATTCTTTCCGTTTTAGCATAGAGCTTCACTATTTCAAACCTTCGATAAAGCTAGCTTAAATTGTCTTCGAAAAGAATATTAAATTTACAAAAATATTCATTTGTATGATTTTTGCATCTGATATGAACTGGACTGATTTAAAAGAAAGTACAAATTTAATAACGCATAACTCAATCATTATAAACAAATTATGAAATGGGAGGTCAGCATTAAACAAGGTTACAAACAGCAACAGTAACGGAATGCTACAATATTTCAGCACTGAAAAATGAATGTTTCCCTGTATTTAGTCCCTTCAAAAATGCAAACACCAGCTTTAAAAATATGTTCATGCTATCATAAATTTGTATATGCTTGCCGTGTGCATCAGCTCCAGCAGAAAAGATTTTTCTATATTTTGTGCGACAGTATAACTTGCATATTACAGACTTTCTAATCACTGGAACTGATTTTTCATTAAATGTCCAGAAACAGCACGGGCATACCGAGAAAATTTTTCGGGAGGAGGAGAAAGTTTAGAGATAAACGTTTACATCAATAATTGTTTACTTAATTATTTAATTTGGGCAGAAGGTTCAGTAATGCATTATACGTTTACCATACATGCATCAATGCAAATATCTTTTTACTTGATCCGAAGAGGACTGGGTTTCCTACCATTCCCCACACCATGATTCTGTGTTTTCTTTCCTGAAGTATGGTATTATTACTGATAACGCAAATATCTATCTTTTTAAGTTAGAAATACCTAACCTCTTTATATTAACCATTTCGGATCCAAATGATTTCTGTACTGTAATCCATTTAGGTCACACGTAATATTGCATTATTTATATTCGATGTTTGTGCGGGCTTCTAATTACTCTTGAACTCATTACACTGTATTTTTGGATGTTCTTGCATTGAGGATTAGTGTTTTACTGATTTTAATAATGTCGTTGTTTTTCATGCTGTCAGTTAATGGCATTCTTGTAATTTGGTTTAACGTATTCAAATAATAAACTTTTAAAATATAAAGCATGTAATGTAATGTAAATTAAACGTGCTTTGAAATGTAAAGTGCTTTGAATAAATCCTGTAAATCTATAGCTGCGGCTCATACCAAAGATTTGGAATACCTGAGTATATAACTGAAATAAGAGTGTACCAAATACAGGTGTCCAGAATTAAAGGTTCTTTTTCTAAAGCTTCCTAGAGGCGAAACCAGTTATCACAAAACCGTTACATTTTCTGGCGGAAAGGAATTGGAATGTTTTTCAGAATAAATAAATAGTTACAAATCTTATCGTAAGAAATCATTTGACTTTGAAAACATGTAGTGCAAAAGTAAGTCTTTGTCGACGTCACTCCAGCAGCTGATATAAAACCTAAAAACATACGTGGAGATTTTATTTTTTATGTGTTCGCTGCTCACAATAGCAATAAGTTTACAAGATCGCGCTTTGCTAGTAAAATTGTTGTATCTAAATAGTAATTCCATAGCAGCTAATTTATGGAATATTCGAACTTTGAATAGGATTCGAAGAGGTCCAATAAATATTAAAAATATTGGAAAACTGATAACAAAATTTGAACAAAAGTAACGTTTTCTGTTAATGAAAGAAGAAGAAAATGCGTTTCTTCAGAAGCAGTGCAGGAGATTGCGCTTCTGGTGGCAGTGGCCACAGCTTCAAACTTTCAGGCTAGACCAGTGTCTGACGTATAGCAGAAGAGTTAGACAAGGCAAGTTCAACTGTCCACAAGACCGTAGGGCATATTCTCCGATATTATTCTTATAAACTTTCACCGATGCAACAGTTGCTTCCACATGATTTTGATTCTCGACTCCAGTTCTCACTTTAATTTCTAGCTCGCTTGGAAGTCGACTGAGAATGTCTTTAGAGTATCCCTTGGACAAAGGAAGCGCATTTCCATTTGGACTGGCAGTGAATACTCACAATTTAGGAACTAAAAAATCTGCTTCCCAGAGTTTCCGTTGCATTCACCAAAATTGACGGTATGATGTGAATTTCGCGCATCATTTATTCTTGGGCCGTACTTCTTCGATGAGTTACAATCTACAAGTTCAATGGCATACTCAATTACCAGGCAGCGATATGCAGCACTGTTAGAGAATGAAAATTCTTCTGGCTGTGCATTGCACCCGCAATCTTTATGCAAGATAGAGCTCCTATACACATTGTGCGATGTGTTACGAATATCCTTAAATGTCATTTTACAGAAAAACGTGTCATCAGCCGGCACATTCGTAATGTATGGCTTTCCCTATCCCCCGACCTCAACCCATGCGATTTTTGGCTTTAAAGGCATTTAAAGATCTGGTAAGTCGTGACAATATAAGAACTTTATTCTGATCTTAAATCTAGCATTTCCCAGCGCACACTTCGATGAATTGTGGACAATGCCATCTTGTGACTTCAGATGACAGATGAAAATGATAGCCTTCATATGAAACACGCGTCACAAAATTTTAGTGTTCTGATGACTGTTTCGCCTAGAGACAGTTTTGAAATAGGGTCCTTTATAACTCTGGACACCGTGTGCATTATAGATAAATCTTGCCTTTTTATGGTAGAATATTTGCTGACTGGAGAAGATAATTTTAATTAACAAGACTAGTGTATTATCTAGCAATATCAGTGACTTTCAATTTCAACGAAATGGTGCAAAAAAAGTTTTTTTGCTTGGACGCAACGACGTAAGTCACGAGCCTTAGCATTTTAAATCAAAACTCTGCTGCCACTGTAAAGACATCGGGATACAGCGATCAGTAATTACCCTCGTATGATGATATTTTTAGATATGAAAGACAAACATGTGTACGAAAACAAATATGTTTTCTAATTAAGACATATGTTTTCTGTTATGGATTCGATAAATGTGTTTTCTGTATTATTGCAAACGCACGAGTTCATATTAAGATTCCTCTTCGTCAAAGTTAAAGCTGACACTTATAAATGTTTAAGTAATGTTATTTAATATCATTTGGTATTAGATGAATACGTTTATTATTATATTTTTATAATGCTTTCTAAAATATTTCATTCCTTTTTTAGATTCTTCAGGTTCAGATGAATGACTATAAGTATTATTATCACTTTACTACATTGGTAAGTGTATGTTTTCTTTCTCAATGATTTTTACATACGTGTTTTCCTATCGTATACCCTTTAATCGCAGAAAGGAAGAAGTATAAAATATTATGTTTATTTCGAATATAGAATAGTAATACATAAGACGACTCTGCGATTTTTAATTTATATAGCAAAAAAAAAAAAAAAAGCTGTTGCATGAGATGATCTTACTTACATAGTACTTGAGATGGGTACACTGATAGCAGCCAGATAATTAAATGACCTAAATGTCATACTTTGTGATAAGTTAAGAAGCAGGATATATTTTCTTTTAATGTTAAAAGCAGTTATTTTTAAATGCTGTATTGCGCAAATGAGATTAAATGCCTTATCAGAATACCGCGATCTACAAATGAGCATTTTATGGAGCAATCATCAGCATCTCATATTTAGACCAATGTGGTAATCACCAAGCTGCTAAAACTGATAACGTTTGATTAATTTATCTCTAATCTCGAAAGCATATTTTTTCTAAGTGTCTGCTTTACATTGTGTAGCGATGAATGTACATTAGCCAAGAGCAGATTTGATTATAAAAATAAATAATAACAAAAAGTAAAGAAAAATCTGAAAGCTTTTTAGATTTTATATTACGCCTAATGGGCGGTTTTTTAACGTTTTGTGTGTTACATTTATTTATTAAATATCATGTTCTTCGCACTTAAACCATGATATTCAATTCAACAGCAATATTCAACAGCAAAATATTTAAAAAGAGCAAAAATTCAACTCCAAAATATTTAAAAAGAGCATACCTTTAGAATTTTCCGATCCAGAATTTTCCGATTTCAGTTTCGCACGCTGGAGATAAAAATGTTTCCTTTTCGTACAATGTTCACAATTTCTCGCTTTGAAATCATTGATTTCGTTACTGAAAAATTTTTTAAAGTTTTACAAAATATGTAATAAATAAAATAACTCAAATTTTAAATTTAGGCTTCCATATGCCCATAATCGAGTGCAGGACTGCCTTATTCAAAATTTGATGTAGGTACCGTTGTTTTATCACAGTGCGAGAAACATACATAAATTTATGCAGATTCTTCATTATTTAATCTGTTTAAATATAATGCAGGGCTCTAATATTTGGTGGCAACACTTTGGAAGTCAAACGCCGTTTTATAATGGACGAGGCAAAATGCCAAAACGAAATTAAAAGCTGTTCTGAGCAGTTACCTGTTTGGGAGAAAAAAGAATATACGTACTCTTTCCCTGCAATTACATGTTGATTAGATCAAGAAAAATACTTTAAATTAGAAAAGCAATTCATACGTATTTTTATTATAGTGCAAATTTTTACGTCTGCAGAGATGCAAGACCGAGAAAGCGATTAAACTGTTTTGATACACTGATTTTATAAAAGAGGCAATATCTAATATGATATATTACCTAGCATATTGATGCACTGCCAATATTCATTATTCGGAGACGACAGCCGTCACGAGGCTTTCTTACTCGTACAAAATGAAATAATGTTACATAGAAACCAACTTTTAATACAGTATTGTTTCATTATTATCGCTTCTGCACGTGTTTATTCGAACTTCGCTATTACTTGAGAAACAAACGATGAGAATCAGACGACAGAATCATTGTGAGCGTCCGCTTTGCAGTGAGAACCTTCCTGTATACAGCATAATGAGTTCCTGAAGGAGATAAGACATTCCTCTTTTAACCTCACAATCGAGTGGATTTAGCTCCTTTGGTTTCCTTCTGCAATCCGAAAGTTCACAGAAAGTCACTAAGAGGTGGATCAAATCATCTAACATAAGAATAAATTGTATTTAATCAAATGCTTTCGAGTAAAGTTAATTTTAAAACGAGGTTTAGGGTTCAGCGCAGAACAAGAGAGAATGTATAACATTGACTGGAATTTGAGAGTTTTTAAGCTTTCGAATACAGTAAAATTCTTCATAAAGAACAGTTTGATGTATTTAAATGGTAATCTGAATATTTTGTAATGATCTGAGTAATAACACATTTTAAATTCAATTAATTAACATTTTTGTTAGTCAGAATCATCTGTCTTGATAACAACTTGATAACGTGAACGCAGAACTTTAAAGCACATCCTTGACCACCTAGAGCAAAGGAAGTATAGCAATAGAGAAAAATAAGCGCATTTGTCATATGTTATCAGAGAAAGGATACACCGATCGCAAACATCAGTCATAAATTTCACATCTATAACATCACGGGAAGGACTGCTGCCTTTATTGAAATTTTTTAGACGTAAGACCAATTCATTGATTTTTCCTGTTACTACTTTGTCTACATTTATCTTACTTTTTATACAATATACTTTAGTGACTACCTTCATATAAAGATTAAAAATATGATCACAAATTTAAATAATCTCTTATAAAATGTAGCGTATTTATAAGAACATTAAATTAGAAGTATCCCCATTAGGCCTATGCTTTGCAACAACAGAAAATTACCAATGAAATCAAAATCATTAATACGATAGTACAGCAAAGAAAGGCCAGGAATGTGAAACGACATGCTGGAGATGCTTCCAATAGATAAAGTGCATATTCAAAATATCTTAATAGCTCTGGTACTCTAATAACCTAAAATGTAAAAAACAATATATATTTTCTGCTTCACTTTTATTCAGATAAAAAGGTAACAAATACTCCAGTTCTACAGGAATCACATTTAATTGCATCACAGAAGGTTTCAAGATAAACTGATTTTCTGAATTAATGTTTGTTATCTTTAATCAAAGCTGTTCTCTAATCAACAGCAGCTAATAATTAAGGACACAATTAAGAAGGAAACTCACGAGAGCCTCGTATTTTCACCGATTAGAGCTGTGATCGTTTTAAGAAAAATCTTTAAAACCTGAGCCGTTTTTCTAATTGATTCCGTATAGAGCAGAATTTCTCAAACTAAAGTACATGTACCCCTGGAGACTGTACATTTTTTATAGTAAATGGTTTATACAAAATATTTAAATAAATCTAAAATGCCATATCATTCAATATTTTGTCTTAATATTTATCATTCGTTTACAAATGTATTTTTCAATTCTGACGCTCCGTTTAAATTGGCATCCATGGTGACAGCTACACTGTCATACGATAGTTACTGCTGTAGCGTTAATTTTGAAACGAGTAATATACCTTTGCATAAATTTAGCTTGTCGGGAATCATAATGTCACTCCGGTTAAAAAGAAGAGATAAATAATAAGTATATGTCGCCGACAAAGCGATAAAATTTCGAACCACTAACCATCATCAGGAAAAACTGCAACCATCATCAGGAATGATGATTTGAACCATCATCAGGAAAAACTGCATTTATGATCTCGCTGATTACTTCGATGTTGGATGAGGCAGTGCTATTCACCATAGGCGAAAGGGTCGTAGGACGAAACACCTTGTTATATGTTATCTTTTGAGTAGGTCCAAAGGCTTTAGTGACATTACTACAGTACGTTCTCCATGAGACACACTATATCTTGGCGAACCTGGATTTTCAGCAATGTTATGAGTAATTAAAAAAAATATAATACTGTTGCAAGCGGAACCTGATTTACGAAGCTAATTAAATTAATGAAGGTAAAGTCCAATTTTTGGAGATTGATTACAATGAAACAGGCACATTTGTTGCATTAATCCTTATCAATAATAAATATGAGTATTTAATATTCTATATATATCAAATCATTTAATGTTTATTATAATAAATCTGAATATTTAATATTCTATATATATCAATCATTCATTGTTTATTACAATATATTGTAGTGTACTTATATTTTTATATAATATAAAAGCTTTATTTATGAATGTAATTGAATAATAAATAACTAAAATGTTTTATTATTTGATTAAAAACACTACATTTAGGATGCACTTGCTTTTTTGGAAAATGTTTTTCTGATGATACATATATTTTTGTTTCTTATTAATATCGTATAAAATTTTAAAAGTCTGAAACCTCGTAGTGTAGAACAATCACTTTAACGTCTTTTCCTTTTACAGATCCCTTTCAAAAATACCTATAATGTTATAGACTCTTTGTGGAGTTAATCAGTTCCTCCTCATATAGAGGATGGTTTTAATTATTTTTTTTTCAGGAACATTCTGCACATAATGAAAATCACATCAATCATAAGGTTACTGCCTGCCTGCATAATAAATGTAATTTCAACATGAATGTTTTTACTGTTTTGAACTAAATTGGTTGAAAAAAACGTGACTGGTGATTATGTTCGGGTAGTTATCCCCGTGTTCAAATCCTGGGGGCCGGCCGTTTGGAAGTTTTTGTAGTTTTTCCCCATGTGTAACATGTCTACGAGCCAGTTTGCCTTAGAATGTCCTCCAGGATGGTAGATAAGCATCGCGTGCTTCGCGATTATCAAATAAACCAAATTATTCATGTTGGCTGCTTGAACGCGCAACCACTAGCAGCGTCGTGCGTTACAAAATGCCAGTTCATTTGCTCATTGTCTGCGCTGATAACTATAAATGTTTCAAATGCAATAAGTGTACCGTTTTCTCACTGTGTCGAATGCCTTTTATAGTTTCATTTATAACCTGTAAATGAAACCCGTGTGGCTGTTACAATTATATATTTTGCAAATATCCCATTTCATATTTTATACTAAATGCGTTTTGGCTCTTCTTCAAGAAATTGACGAGTTCTTGTTATTTGCATGATCTAGCATATCAATAACATTTATATTTTATTAATTCAGAGTATACATTTGTAAGCTATTTCTCCCTCTTTCCTAGCGTGCCTTCGTGGTGAAATGGTTCTGCACGCTGGGCCGGTATTCCAGAGGTCCGTGGTTCGATTCCCGGCGAAGGCGGTTGCTCATTTTTCATCTTGCCTATTTCCAAAAATATCCTAATGTCTCTACACATTTAAAGTGATCTTGGCTGTAAAGGTTAAAACATTTAGTCGAATTTTAATGTTCCGTATTTCTCGAGCCCTCCCGCAATCATTCCAAATATCCTTTAAG